TCAAAGAAGAGCACCGTGGGAGCGAGGGTGTGGCTGGGTCAGTTTGGGATGCCCCAGGCCACGGCCAGGTGGAAAGCAACCTGGGTGGTGGAGACAGCCCTGGACTTGGACTTAGACTTGAGTCTTGGGTCAAATCCCAGCAGCACCTCTTCCTCCCTTCGTGACCTTGAACAAGCTTTTTAACCTCTGTGGTATCAGTTTTCTCATCTGTCAAACAGGGTGATTATTTTTTACTTCACAGGCAGGGTGATGTGAGGCTTACATGTGAAAGGGTCCTGCATACAGGAGGTGCTCAATTTATGTCTATGGAGGCTGCAGCAATCACTCCAGAGGTGAAGTAGGAAGTCTGAGTGCGGCGCTCAGAAATGAGAGAGAGAGAGAGTCCCCACTCCCAGGCCAGGTGGCTCCTTCCCATCTGTGCTCCCATCTCTTACCACCCTCGGCCCTGGGCCCTGTCCTGCGGTCCAGTGTTTGGGAGTTGGGATCCTACGGAGTGTGTGGCTGACTGCTCCCAGGGACCCCCACCTCCACACCCACAGCTTAGTGCTCAGGCCTCCCTTTCCAGAACACCTGCAGCCCAGGTTGCCCTCTAAGCTCCAGAGCTGCCTGATCCCATGCCCTGGGAGGAGGTGTTCCGGCTGGACTGGCTGCCACGCGCTCACCTTGTAGATGGCCATGGTGGACCTGTAGAACTGGTCCATCTCGGGGAGCTCCAGAGCTGCCTGATCCCATGCCCTGGGAGGAGGTGTTCCGGCTGGACCGGCTGCCACGCGCTCACCTTGTAGATGGCCATGGTGGACCTGTAGAACTGGTCCATCTCGGGGGCCATGGGGGCGCTGAGCAGGTACCTGCTGGTGATGGCAGGGCTGGCGGCACTGGGGTCAGTACCTGCTGGTGCCCACCTCTCAGTGGGCAGTGTGGAGGCTGCAGAGTGGGATCTGGAGATGGAGGCCTGCCTGGGAGGAGGTGGCAGCTTAATTATTCACCAGCCGGGGATGTCAGAACGCGATCTGGGGCGTAACCAGACCCAGCGGGGAAGGCATCCTGTGACGCGGGCAGGTTCGTGTGACCTGCCCTTCAATTATTTACCCCTCTGAGCCGTGGGCCAGTGGGCACGCATGGAGGGCCACTCTCCTAGGTCACCTCCTCCACAAGGCAAGGCTTTCTAGGCCTGCTGGGGACCCCTGGTCCTGGGGGAGCCCCACCCTCCCACTTGCCTAGACTGGACATTGCCCACCCTATTGTGCTAGAGCTGCTCAGCGCCCCTTCCAGGGCCCTCCTGCCAGTTCTCAGGCCTTGCCCTTGCCCTGAACCCCTCAGGCCTGCGCAGATCCTCCCCCAACACATGGGAGAGGGGGCGACACAATCCCTGGAGTCACATAGACCTGGGGGCAGGCCTTGGCCCTGCTCACTTGCTGCTTGATTGTGCCCAAGTCCCCTGCCCTTTCTGGTTCGCAGGAGGGGCTCTCCCTTGTCCCCATGGTGAGGATTAGGGCTCCCCACAGGCCTGCCTGGGACAGGTGGGCCTGGCACCTGCCCCTGGACACCCTGTGGGCCTGTCCCGGGCAGGCTTGGAGGTGACAGGAGGTGTCCCTGTCCCAGGGAGCCTAGGAAACAGAGTGTCCAAGTGGGAACAGGAAGAGGACAAGGTCAAGGCTGAAGGTCAATGCCAAGCGGAGCTGGGGGTCGGGGTATGGGGCACTCACACCTCAGTGCACACAACACAGATGAACTTGAATCCAAACCATTTATTTCACAGCTTTGGGGCAGCCCCAACAGCCTATCCCCACTGTTAGTCTGCTTCATCGGGAAGAATAACAACTCAAAGGGGTGACCTTTGAGAGGGTGGGGTGGCCCCAAGGGGCGGGGTGGCAAGGCATGCATGTAGGGGCAAAGTTGAATGAGGCCTCCTGCTCCTGGAGCCTGGGTTTCCCTGCTGTGGGGTGGGGGGGTGCCTGTTTCCTTAGCCCAGCCCCCAGGGAAGAGGGTAGGGGACAAAGGGTGTTGTACCCACTAAGGAACCTGGGAGGGTGGCTTGCTCACTGGAGGCTGGGGCCAGGCTGGGGGCATGTGCAGGCACACTTAGTGTTTGAGCTGATGGGCAAGGGGTCCCGTCGAGTCAGTCATCCTTCACAGTCAGGAAAAGGGGCCGAGTGGGGCTCTAGGCTTTCTAAGCCCGGAATGACAAAAAATGTCAGATGGTGGGGGTTGGGGGATACAGGCCTTCAGGACCAGCCTCAGGCAGGAAACTCAGGCCTCCCAGTCCAGCTACGAGTGCAGAGCTGCCTAGACCCCAGCTCTGCCCAGTAGTGCAGTGGTTGGGCCTCACATGGCCTCCCCAGCAGGGACTGGGGGGGTGCAGTGGGGTGGGGGTGGCTGGGGCCCTGGTGGCCTCATGGAGAGAGCAGCAGCTGGGTAAGCTTCTGGAACTGGTCCCGATGCTCGTAGATGTAGACCTCGGTCTCCCAAAGGGCATTAACCAGCACTGTGTCGCTGACCTCGTCCAGCATGATGTCTGTCCCCAGCTGGGGGTTCAATCTGTCCAGGCCAAGGAGGATGGGTCACCCCAGGACACTTGGCTGAGGTCGGGGACAAGAGCTAGGACTGGGGTAGGCTTGGGAAACAGAGCAGCTTCTTGGGGAAAGGCAAAGTTGATGTCAAGGTCTGAGTAGGGGCAGGTTGTGGCAGGTTGTGACCAGGCCAGCTGAGCCCTCACCTGAAGTACTGGATGCCGACCATCTCGCACCAGGCCTGGGCCCGGTCCACGGCCCGCCCATCCGGATCTGTGCACTAGAGAGAAGCAGACTCAGTGAGCACCCGGCCCACACCCACCCGGCACTGCCCCCTTGTCCCAGAGTCCCCACCTGGGAATCCCCAGGTCCTATTGGGGCTTAGCTGCCAATCAGGAGAGTGACTTTGGGCAAGTCCCCCTCCTCGG